TGTGTGTGTGTGTGTGTGTGTGTATGTATGTATGTATGTGTGTGTGTGTGTGTGTGTATGTATATGTATGTGTGTGTATGTGTATGTATATGTGTGTGTGTATGTATGTGTGTATGTATGTATGTATCTCTGTGTGTGTGTGTGTGTGTGTGTGTATGTATGTATGTGTGTGTGTGTGTGCATGTATGTGTGTGTATGTATATCTATATGTGTGTGTGTGTGTGTATGTGTGTATGTATGTAGTATGTATGTGTCACTTTGTAATCTCTCCTTTCTCTAGCCTCCTCTTTCTCTGCGCGGCCGGTCTGGGGATATTAAACATAAAATGAATAATCTGGTTTGTGATTGCTCTACAAGAACGCAGCGATCTGAGGAGACTGCTGTGTGTGCGTTGTATGTGTCTAGTCCATCGATTGTATGATCGGTGCCTTGAAGCTCAGTGGCAAGTCATTGCCGGGCAGGGATCTGTGTGTCTGATGTTGGTGGGCAATGGAAGAAGCGGGGACACCAAGGTTCTAGCTGAGAGGACAGCTTGGGGGGAATCTTACTGGGCGGAGGAAACCACTTAGACTGCCACACAACCATTGCAGTACACTAGATTGTATGTGAGATTTCCATCTGCATGTGTGTGTGTGTGTGTCCAGCCAGGTTGAGTTGGGTGAGTCTCCCTCCAGTGGTGGGCAGCGGTAGTGCAGGAGACTGTGAGTGGCGGTACTGACTCTAGAGGTAACTGTGACTGGTTTAGCTAACCTGTATCTGCCAGTGAGAGTAGTGTGTGTGGTCTGCAAGGCCCGTGTGCCGGTCTGCTTGAGGGCAGCGTGTGCGGACTAGGAGCGTCCAGGGAAAGATTCCCCACAAGCCTGGAAGCAGGGCCGGTGCTGCCACTAGGCAAACTAGGCAGCCTTCTGGGGCGCACTGCTGCCTAGGGCTCAGCCTTGATCCCTCACCCTCCCTGTACCCGCCCACTAAGCAGAGGAGTGGAACTGAAAGACAACTTTCTCTCTCAGGTCCGCTCCTCTGCTCAGTGGGTGGGGTTTTAATAGCCAGTCTGCTATTGGCTATTTCCAATTAAAATAGCCAATAGCAGTCTGTCTATTGCTCCCGGCTGCTTACATCCGCCAGTCACCTGCGGAAGCTAGCCGGCAGGAGAATGGGGCAGTGCCGGGGGAGGTGGCTGGTCTTGCCTAGGGCGCAAAATAGTCTAGCACCGGCCCTGCCTGTAAGTTGCGGGTGGTGGCAGCTGAGATTAGTTCATTTGTGTGTGTGTATTGTTGAACGGCCTTGCCTGCGGTCTGGGAGTGCTCGCGAAGATCTACCAGTGCTCTGGAAGACTTCCTAAGGACGGATATAGCCTGTGCATAATCTGGCCCTTCCCGCATCCTCGTGCCCCCTCAGTGCCCCTCCCCCAGCCCGCCGTCCCTGACAATGGGTGGCAGCAGTGGGGTCGTCAATCATTATTTCCCGGATCTAGTGAAGACAGATAGTGATTTTCCAACCCTCTTACCACCCAAATAAGTCATGTGACCGCCTTGGAGTGGTGCGCGTACGTGTCAATCTCTAATAATAATAATCAGAATGATCTTCACACGCTTACTCTTCAACCCCAATACAAACCTCTCTATATTCTATCTTCATTAACCTTGTAGAACTACAACCCCTCATCCCTCCTATGAGGTTTCATCAGAGGTGACGGTCTGGGAATCGGTGACGCCGTTAGACATACCGGGCTCATTGCAGTCTGCAGGGGAAGTTCGGAGGACAATAAATCTTCACTCGTAAGATAGATAGTCACGGAGCTAATGACAGAAAAGAAATAGGCGGAGGGACTACATGACAGGGCGAACATGGGAACAGGAAGGAGGGGTCAAGGTCAAGGCACTTACCTGATTGGCCGAGTGATAGGTGGTCTAGAAGGGGCTTCACAGTAGGATGAGAGGGCGGAGAATTCCTCCTGGTCAGTTGGGAATTAGCACACGGCGAGGAACTTCTCCCTGTCCCGCCCCCACTTATTATACATTTAGTACTTGGTGTTTGGGTTCTCGCCGGGGTGACATGGTTCATCGGTAGGGTATGGTGGCGCTAAGTTGGTGTTGGTGAGGACTCGTCTCTGGTGCGCAGTCCTGGTTGTGGCGGAGTCAGCAGGCATGCTGACCAGTACAGTATGGGGTGGAAAGTGTCTCTGCAACAATCCGGTGGTTGTCCATGAGTCGGTGTCTTGCGGCTAGGGGCCTTGTGGTTATGCGGAGATGGTGACATTAGGGGCCTTCACGGACCTCCAGCCATATGTGTGTGTCCATGCATTTATATATATATTTGTATAGGAGGTGTGGCCGTGTGTGCATAGTTAATTGTTGATTACATGAATCTAATGTTTAAGTATATTGGTTTACGTTATGATGTTTTTGTAATAAAAGGCTGCTACAGCCAGTTATACCAAAAATGGTGTGCTCTGTTATTTGGGGATTGTAGTTATTGAGGGGAGGTGGCGTAGCAGGGTCTTTTGGTGCAAGAAGGAACCTATGGCGTGCCCTAGTCAAGATAATACGATACTTCTTCCTGAACAGGAGGATCTGTGACTAGACCATCCCGAGGACTGACTTTAACCCGTCTATACAGGAAACATCACAGTTTAGCTCTCTTAATCAGCCCCCCTGATGGGGCCCCCATCTCCACCGGCCTCCATAGTGGTCACGTGGGCTGCTATGGCTATTGTTACACCACCGCTGCACTCCCGCTCTGCCTGTCCCCCACCACGTGACTGAATGAGGCGCAGACAAAAGTATGTATAAACGCACACAGCACAGGGCCGTGTTCACGCTACGAGACATTTCTCGGGGCTGCAGTACCTCTGAGCTCCACAAGGTGGTGACCTCACCTATGCCGAGACAGGAAGTCTCTATGGAAACAAACAGGAAGTGATGCAAATACAAAAAGGAAGTGATGTCAGGTACGGACAGGAAGTTCCGGGTGATAAGTGAGTTGGGAGGAAGTAGAGAGGAGACATTGCTGGAACTGGCAGCAGAGGAGGATAAGAGACTTTATAATATCATAGTTCCATCGTTGTCCATTATTGGGTCCCAAATTCTTCGGCCCCTCATTACCCTCAAATATTCCTCTCTTAAGTCTCTCAAAGTGATTACACTGTGCCGAGATTTTCTTTAGATTTCACTTATCGACCTGAATACACGAGTATAGAAGAAGAATGACGGTGATATAAAACATAAGAGGATTTCGCTATGATGGTTAAATCTTTGTTCTATGAACGGAGCTCCGATGTAGGAAGTCTTCTTCAGGAACCAACACGTCCTGGAGAGACCATCTCCTGATCTCCCCCCCCCCACACACAGAGTTCTGTGGTTCCTCCCGCTGATCTCCACTTTACTACGGGACACGGACCAGAGTCACGGTATAGGGACACGGACCAGAGTCACGGTATAGGGACACGGTAGAATTACATGGTACATGGATGCTGTGCATGGCATGGTCCAAAAACAGCAAACACTAATCTGAACGTGCCTGAGCACAGGGAACCGTTCTTCAACGGTAGAAACTAGGGATGCCCCCATACTAGCATTTAGGCAAGTACTCGTACTCGCCCAAATGCTCCGATACCAGAATATATTCTTCTCTTATCTCTGCTCTGTTCCTGCACACTGATTGGTCCAGAATAGGGCGGGATCTGAGTGATATCAGCCAATAGTAGGTTGGTAATGGTCACCTCCCTGTACTGATACCCGCCCTGGGGTTCAGCTGGCAGTATTGGGTTGGGTGTCACTCCTAGTTCCGGTAGCACAGATATGAGGACACAGATTGGGCCTTTCTTAGGTCGGTTCCTCTTCCTCCAGCAGACTTCGAGCTAAACATAAAACTCTATTATCAGTCTTGTTGGGATGAAAAGTAACAAAGACTGAAACACTTCTCTTTCCAGGAGAACATACTTCTCCAAGCTCCCTCCAGTGCTACTCATCACCAGAAGCCTAGGCCGGGGGTCACTTGTTCTGTGGTGAAGGGTCTACAAGTCTGAACTTTGATCATCTTGTTCCTCAGAGATCACATGACCCAGTGCCTAGGCTTGTGGTTGGGTGAAGAGCATGCTCCTCCCAGTCCCCATTGGCCCCACCTCTTCTGACAGGGCTTTGTAAATGTAGAAGTGATCTGGGAGGAGGACCAAAGGCTCTTTGACTATAGAGGGGAGGAGTCCCGGCTGGTTGGGACCTCCACAGAGAACATCTGCTCCCTCAGACCTCCTGATCCAGATGGAATGTTGAGTGAAGTCATCTAACCCTCTCATATCTCTCCATCATGTGTTTCTATGTTTCCAGGACACGCCATGGAGAAACCCTCAAAGGATCCTCTGACTTTATCTCCAGGTTGTAAGATGGAAGATGAGGACATCACAGCAGATTGTGCGGGAGAAGAGACAATGAGCTCAGCTATGGATGGTGGACTTCACAGTGTGGATAGAGCATGGAATCCCTCTGACTCTGAGCAACCTCGTCCTGTGGGGGATGGTGCCGGAATTCAGGGGGAGAAGACATTTTCCTGTCCTGAGTGCGGGGAAAGTTTTAGCTCTGAATCAACTCTTTGTGTTCATCTGAATTCTCACACTAGCGAGAAGCTATATTCAGATTGCACACAGGCGAGAAGCTATATTCCTGCCCTGAGTGTGGAAAGCGTTATACACAAAAATCTGAATTTGTAATACATCAAAGAACTCACACAGGGGAGAGGCCATATTGCTGCCCTGAGTGTGGGAAATGTTTTTTAGATAAGCCCAGACTTTCCAGACATCAGAAATTGCACACGGGTGAGAAGCCACATGCCTGCCATGAGTGCAGAAAATGTTATACGCGTAAAGCAGATCTTGTTATACATCAAAGATCTCACACGGGGGAGAAGCCTTTTTCCTGTTCTGGGTGTGGAAAAGGTTTTCCAGGAAAATCCACTCTTAATGAACATCAGACATGTCACACAAGGTAAAGGCTGTGTTCCTGCCCTGAGTGTGGGAAAAGTTATCCACGGAAATCAGAACTTTATAAACATCGAAAATCTCACACAGATAAGAAGCCACTTTTCTGACTTGAGTGAGGGAAATGTTTTTCAATAGAAGCCTTGTACTACTAATATATGAATCTTATTTTCTTGATGGTACAGTGCAGGACACAGGCAATTCATAGACGATTGGGTAATATGCAGGTATCATCAGGTGACTGGATACTGTCCAGAGCTCTGAGGACCCCCCTTATAACCCCTCCCACTCCATGAAGTCCTCAGCTTTTTGCTAGTGCCCATAGGTGATGGACGTCTCTTCTCTGCTGAGGGAGATGTGTGGTCGTTTAGTGACCTCTTGATGATGATTTCTTCACTCTATTATTCCTAACTGTGTTCAGCCACAACGGCCACCTCGCAGTTTCCGGATCAGTGCTCCACGACTACAGCTTTGCGGACTATCTGGACCCCACGCTACACGGACAACGATGGGCCGGCCTGTAATGTCACTTCAGGCAATGGATCCTACATCTGGTGACCACCTTGGCACGTGGTGCGATGCATTAGCTGCATGGTGCTATACAGGTCCCTGAAGACCCTCTTCCAGAGGAGGTATGCCCAAGTGAGCGAAGCCGAGGTTGGTCACGGTGTGTGGCTGCAGACTCTCCCGGAGGCAGGGTTTGTTGGCGGGTGGTGAATCCCCGATTCCTCCCGTGCTTTTCATGAATTTCAATGTACCTCTATCACCCCTGTGTCGAGAGGCTCTGGATCGTGCATTGCTGTAGCTACCGTGTTTCCCCGAAAATAAGACAGTGTCTTATTTTATTTTTTCCACGAAAAAGACACTAGGTCTTATTTTCGGGGGATGTCTTACCTGGCTGCAGCTGTCCGTTCTGCCGTCCAGGGAGCCACAAACAGGTGGGCGGGCATGCGTGCGG